CTGGAAAATGAGGCTTTTAAAATATTATTTAAATAAAAGGGAAACATCACTCATAATTCCACCTCATAGTACTGTACTATTAAACATTCTTTATTCATTAAAGATCTTTAATGCTAGAAAACGCATGCTTATTATAGAAAGTACAGAAGGGGGGGAACCCTAGTAGTATTATGTATGTGTATGTATAAACATACAGTATGCTGAGCAATTACTATGTATTTAGAATAGGCACTATTCTAAACAGTGTTAATTCAATCAATGCTAATAATATAAATTAGGCCCACCCCATGACTCACTTTTATATCCTTAACCTATTTTATTTTTATTCAAATAATCTTCTAAAACATTCTTAGTACCAACAACGTATTCTAATTTATGACAGATTCTAATGTAACTACTCCTTTATTACTAATGGAGGGTTAGATTGCATCTAGTTTTTCACTACCATATAAGCAACATATATACATACAGTAGGAATGCCAATCCCTCCAAGGGCAAGGGCTAGGGCAGGGGCAGGGGCCCGGGCCCCAGAGAGCTGAACAATACACCACTAATGAGTCGTCCTCTTCGAGATCTACCTCATAGTGTCCAGTCACCAAAATGAGTAGTTCACTTTGCGTTGATGAGACCGCCGCTGGAGAAGGTCTACATCCTGGCAGGAAACTTTCCAAAGCTCTTGCCTCACTCTGCTCTGTAGCACTCTGCCCCCACAAACTACCAGGTGCTCTAGACCCACTCCCCAGCTCCTCCGGGGCGGTTTCCACTCTGCTCAGCCTGAATGAAGACCTGCTTCTCTGTGCTTTGTATCATGGGATTACCTCCATGTGCACAGGTGCCACACTGCTTTGTCACTGTTGATGGACAAGCACATGTGTAGCCAGTTCTACTTAAACCCACTGATGGGGAGGAAGAGCAAGGAAACTTCTCTGACTCGCTATTAGGTGTGGGTGGAGTGCCTGATTCACAACCATCGACAGGGAGAGGAGCTCCCTTTTCCCAGATGAAAACATGAAGGCCGACCTTTCCACACCAGGCCAGTAGCCTCAGAATCTGCACTCTGGCCCACGTGACCTGAAGTCATTGAGCTTTCTGTTCCACTAAGTGGCTTCCCCCTCAAAACTCAAAGTCATGTGAACTGGAAGGAAAAGGCTAATCGCCCAGCATTGCTGGTTTAAACCTTCCCAAAAAGACAAACTCTCTTTGTCCTGGAGGAATCCCTGGCTTGGGAACAAAGAAGGGAGTGTGTGGAAAGAGACAGGTGATGAGAGAGAGGGTGGGGTGGGGTGGTGAGTAAAGCTGAGGGAACGCTTCCCCATGACTCTGAAAGGACCACTTGGGACCCCATCTCTTTGGGGTGCCCCAGGGCTAGGAAGCAATCAGGCAGGTAGCTGCGATTCTCATGGCACTACGGTACCTTAGAAAACACTAGAGCAGCACAGTGTTTCCCCAACGAGGTGACACCACCTACTGGGAGACACAGGAAGATTACAGGCTCAAACCACGGAGTGAGTGGGTGCCCAGGGTTTTCGAGACTGGCTGCAGAGGCAGATACCCACACTACATGCTAGATGGCGGGCAAAAGCTGGTCGTGCTGGGGTGAGGAATGCTTTTTCTGCAAAGGGGGCAGCAGTAAGCCTACTCGGTGTGGGAGCTGTGTTACAGTGTGTCTATTGGGAAAGGACTGAATGGTACAGTATACTTGGTTTGTGCAAAGGTGCCTGGTTCTCCTTGTGATGAATGGAAGCAGGGCAACCGTGGCGAAGTCTAAGCATTAACATTCTCTGTGGCAGCGTCTGCCCTGACCTGCACTCTGAGAACCACTAACACGTGAAAACCACCCATCTCCAGACCCCACCCTCGGTCCCACTGCATTCGACTGAGGTGTGAAGTAGGAGTCACTGGTAATTCAGAGGCTCTGCCATGTCATGGACAACCTGCGATCTTCTGGTGTCTAGGGAGTAAACGGAAAAAGACAACCAGCTGACTCAGTGCCTTCAATCACATAACCAAAGACCAGCAAGAAACAACAAATTCTGTGTGGCTTCAGAGCCAAGTGAGTTATGTGCAGTCTGCGCTGACTGACGAAGCCTGCCTGTGTTCTACCAGTGTTTCACTCACTGCTGTCAAGTCCACTCTCTCATCGCAACCTTGGAGTAGGCTGTATGTGTGGACGCACACTGCCACAGCTTTCTCCCACGCGTGGCCGGTGGGTCAACTCGCCGACCTATCAGAAACAGCAGTGCTGTATCTACGGTGGCACTGTGGCGCTGTGTTCTACCTCAAGAGTGCCCAAAATTGAACTGACAGGGAATGCACCCTTTTTTAAAAAGTGCTAGGATGTCTCTGGAGGTGGCAGCTGTCACAACCCTCCCTGGACTCCTGGACCTTTGAAGTTCCTCGGAGGGTGACCCACCACCAGAAGACGAAAAGGGTCGCCCGGCGGCAGCAGGCAGGAATCACAGCCTACCTTGACGTCTAGCTTGGCCACGTGCTGTAGAACCCAGATCCGATGGGACCAGGCATTATAGTTGCTTGGGTACCTTCCAGCAGCTTCCCCACAGACCTCCATCTCTTCTTGTCTCAGCCGCTGCGTTCTTTCTGCAGGGATGGTTCCCAAGTTTCCTTTGGCCACGAAGGAAGGCAAGGAGGTTTCCTGAATTAGCTGTTGCAGCACCCATCGCCTGGTTAGGTGACAGGGGAAGGAGCAAAGAATGTAAGGACGGGGTGGGGGTGGGGGGGACGGGACGACAAATGATTTTCTTTATTCTTAATTTCATTTCCATCGAAGATCTTTCTGCAACCCAGACCACATCCCACTTCGGGGTGGTCGGATGGTGCGGAAGAAAGGGGACTAAGGGTTTTTCTTTTTGTATAATAATTAAAGTTAGCCGCATGAACAAGAGAAAACAAGGGACAGACAGCAGAGAAACATCCACCTGGGGCTTAGCAACTTATCACAAAGAACTCCACCAGCCCCAAAGGCAACCTGCCAGTCTGGCCCAGAAATGCAAAGGCCTCTGTCTGTCTTTCCTCGAGTGCGTTTGGGGAGGCTGGGTGTAAGGACAGAAGAGGAGTCATGGTGGACAGCTGCCATTCCATGTGCATGCCTCACCTTCTGTCTTCCTCCTCTATCAGAAGTGTATTTGTCTGCAAGCGAGAAACTGCACTATGACAGCTTTCATTAAGCAAAGTCCTGCTCCACTGCACTGAATCTAGAAGGCAATCTATTCGATTGGGGACCTCATTAAGGAGGCTTCCACATGTCCTTATTCACAGATTTTCCTCAAAAAACAAACAAACAAACAAAACCCCAAACAAAACCAAACCACCTCACCTAAACTTACTGCCACCGAGTTGATGCTGACTCATAGCAATCCTACAAGGACAGGGTAGAACTGCCCATCTGGGTTTCCAAGTCTGTAACTCATTATAGGAGTGGAAAGACCAGTCTTTCTCCCGAAGAGTGGCTGGTGGGCTCAAACTGCTGAACTTGAAGTAAGTACCCACCTCAGAACCACTATGCTAACAGGGCTCCCACAGATTTCCCCAGGTCTACTTAAAACTTGCGTTCACATACAGCTAAAAAACATATATAAAAAGGTAATCTTCACTACTTAAGGTCTTCAGTTTGGGAAAATGTTTTCTCATGAAAACATTCTTTTAGACAATAAATGTCTACAAGAATACAGGAAAATGAGTAAGAAAAGCATCTTGCTATTTAAAAATAGTGGACACTTTTGCGTAACAATAAAATATTGCTTTATAAAAAAAGTTTGACAGCCAAAAAATGGGCAGGTGCATGTTTACGAGTCCCCACTCGCCACCCCTCTCTTCCAAGGCCCCATATGCACAGTTACCAACCTGGCTGAGGCCCGCTACCCCGCTTTCCAGTAAGGAAGAAGTACAAGTAAGCAGCCTAGAAGAGGTGCTTTCGGATGCAAGCCTCGGGCAAGATTGCAGCTGTGCAATACCTTGACCTAAAGTGAGGTCCTGCGCCCGTGCAGGATTCCTCAGACTGTCCACACTGACAGCCACCAGTAAGGCCTGGCGTCCCATTAGTCAAGTGAGAATAGCTGCCTGGGATGGTGGGGGTGGGGGTTGGGGGTTAAAGACGAGGAAGCTTGCAGAAAATCAGGATTCTGAAAGAGGCTTGGATGCATTCTGACATTGCCTTGGGTCTTTAACCTAAAAAACACTTTCTTTGCACCTCTGGTCCCTGCACCTTTAGTTCAGCTGCCCTGACCTTCCTCAGGAGGCTAGTAATGACCTCTACCATCGTTACCAAGACACGCACTCGAGTTTCAACCCAAGCGCTCGTTAGAGTTGAATTTTTAAATTTTAAATACAACCTCTAGGACGGCTCCAGGTAGCTCTGACCACATTCAGTGTGTGCCGGGCCCGTATGGTAAGGCTTGTGTGTGTCACCTTCCCACTAGGCGGGAGCTGTGGTCACTATCTGGATTTTACCAATGAGGAAATGGAGACTTGGAGAAGGTCCTTGACTTCCCAAGATCACACAGGGAGCAAGTGAGAGCACCGAGACTTAAACATGGCTAACTGGCATAGAATGTGCCTCCTGAATCGCTACACACCACCCTGCCTCCAAGTCCATGTTTATTCCTCCAGACACTATGATAATGTACATGAGACACACCTGTGGATCCATGTTTCTGGACTCTTTGGAAACTTCGTTAAGGCCAGTTTTCCCAGATGTAAGTCCTTAATTGGGTTTAAAGTGCCAGAGAGAATTAGCTCTTTCCTGTACAAGAAAAGAAAAAGAGTCATTATTAAATGGATATTAATATAAACCTATTGTGAAGTGAATTTCTAAGAACCGAAAATTATAAAGACCCCAATTTCAAAGCATGGACTACATGGAGTAAACATGTACAAGGGGATATCCAAAACCACCCGGAATTACGAGCACTGAGCACCTCACTCTCATCTATGTCGTCTGGGAGGGTTCTCTCTGACCAAGGTGAATTTTTCTGTAAAAGCAATTTCGCTTGGACCTCAGTTTTTATGATGGCC